TGACACGTCATCCCTACAGTTGATGTATTGTCGCCACATTAATGTGTCGTTTGGTGAATCGACAGCTCCTTTTATTATCTATAAATATCCTTATAAAGATGATTGAAAAAAATGAAGAGAAAGAAGAAAATGTTTATTTGGTTAAAGATGAATCAAGTTCACCTTCTTTTAGGGTTGGTCATTAGGACCATCGTCACCCCAAGTCAAGGGGTTGGTCGTGAGGACCCTGCACTCCAGATTGGAGCATGATGCCCAATGCACCTCTGTTGCATGTCCTCCGAGCGCCACCGGCCTTCTTGCCTCCTCCGCTTCACCCCGATGAGCTGCCTCATTGTCATCATCCCTCTCTAGTGCTGCCATCGCGCCTTTCAGCCACCTCATCGTCACCAACACACTGCCATTACCCATTCGTCGCTACTGTCGCTGCTGCCATTGTTGCCCCTTCCACAGGTTATGGTTAAAATGCAACTGGCTCACAACACCATGAACCGGCCTGAAACAGAGCAGCTCAGCCTGAACCGACCGCCCCACTGTCTTGTCTGAGCCCACCGCGTTGTGGTCCAAACCATCTTGGGCCCTTGGTTCAAACCAGCTTCTCCTGCTGGTTAGGTTTCTGCCGGACGACCTGGTCCACGCCAATTGCTCCACTAGTCAGATCCAGTCCCGGTGATCAGCCCTGTTCAGCCTAGTCAATAGTCAGCAGTCAGTAGTCAGTGTCAATTATCAACGATCAACCATTACATGAAGTCAATGGTCAAGTCCTGCTGACAAGTCAGGCACATCAGTCCATAAGTGGCTTGTCCCGCATCACTTTTTGGTCCCTATTTGGTCTAACAATTAGGCTTAAGTGAGCTTTATTAGTCTATGTGAAGGTTGTAAAAAATTCAGAAAAACATACATAAAAACTTGTAAAATATTTAGCTTTAATTCCCATTTAGATGAGCTTTCCATTTATTTTTCACATATTTATGTGCATGACATATTATCTCAAATGAAAATTAGTTTAGTCAAACTAGGCACTCTTGTAGATTGTTTTGCATTTGGGTCAACTATTACTTTAGTAACCCACTTTATACAGAAAATCAAAAATAATTAAACTCATGGTAGGATAATCATTACTTTATACTCAAACGTAACTTTTGTCCCTAATAAAAAATTAATTAGCAATTATATGATATCTAAGAATTAATATTTTCAATTAAATTATTCATAATTTCACATAGAATGTCATCAATATAATCAATTTCATGATTTTGAGTTAAGAGTGATTTTACTTAAATTTTTCCATAAATCATCAAAAGTAATTTTTGAGCAATCTATAATTCAACTAGATTATAGCCATATCTCAAACAAGTTTGAGCTAAACTTCTTGGTAAATTTTTCAAACCAATGTCAACTTTGGTGGCCATCTATCTTGTGATAGCCACTTAAAAAGACATCAATTTTAGTGAATTCTCCCCCAGATCTTGCTACTTTCCATCCCTTCTTAGGAGGGGAGGCTATCTTGAGAGAGACACAGCAGTGAGCGAGAGAAAGAGAGAGGGAGGGGGGCTGAGGGAGAAGGGAGAGAGTATCAAGTTTCATAATTTTCTTCAAAATTGTATTCACTTATTTATTGCCTACTTTGACTTGACCATTATATTGTAAATGATAAGAAGTGGTCATCCTTTGTTGGACTCACTTCTTCAAAAGAGATCGAAATTGATAGTTACCAAAGTGAGTTTCTCCATCACTAATGATCATCCTAAGACATCCAAAACATGAGAAAATATTATGCAAAACAAAATTCAACACCACTTTGTGATCATTAGTTTTAGTAGGGAAAGCTTGGCAATTAAGACAAGACTTACAAAATTCATATGAATCTTTACAAATAGATTGTCAATAAAAACTGCATTACAATATTTTTATAGTTGTCTTCTTTTGTAAAAAATGTCCACCACATGTTGAAGAATGACATAAATTTAAGATAATAAGGTTTTCTTCTTCAAGAACACATCTTCGAACAATTTGATCAACATTGAAATAATTCTGGTCCTTCCCAAAAATAATATTTAAGATTATTGAAACAAATTATCATTTTGAGTCTAATTTGGGCAATTGTCTAGCTAGTAAGTAATTCATTATATGTACGTACCATGGTGGCTTGCTAGCATCAATAATCAAAAGCTGCTCTTTGAGAAATTCTTTATGAATTGGAATTTTGCTCTCTACATGGATCCTAGATAGATGGTCAACTATGGAATTCTCATGTACATGTCTATATTTCCCTTCTAAGTCAAATTCTTGAAGCAAGAAAATCCATCCAATTAACAGAGGTTAAGCATCTTTCTTACTAAGTAAATATCTAATGACTAATATGTATGGATTGAGTGAAGAAATAGAAGTTGAATTAAAATTGAAGGAAAACTCCAACATATACATAACTCACAAAAAGATTAGAAGAGCCAACAAAGAGTGAACCTAATCCTGCAAAGTATAAACCCCCTATCCCCTTTCTCGATGCTCTTAAAATATCAAAAATAAAGCTTAATCAACCCGATGATCATTTACTAGAATTATTCAAGAAAGTTGCAATAAATATTCCATTAATAGACAGCATACAACATATACCATCTTATGATAAATTTTTAAAAGGATTATGCATACCTAGTAGAAAGTAAAAACAAATTCAATTATCTGATACTATTAGCTCTATATTACTTAATCACATTCTTGCAAAGTGTAAGGATCCAAAAGCACCTTAATTGGGATGATAATAACATATTTCGAGAGCAAGAGGTTCATAGGGGTTTCCCATGAAACTTCACAACCACTATCATGGCATGACAAGAAAGTAGCATAGTAGGGTATAGTGTATGTGCATATGCAAAAGCATGGTGAGGCCTATGTGTGTTGTGCCATACTAGTACACCCACCATGCATGCACACAAATTCAACCATCATGTGAGAGATGTGGTAAGGAATCTTTGGAGAGAAAATATACCTAAGATAACCAACAAGAAAAAAATATTGTGTTATTATCAAAATTAAATGATTTTTATCTTTGAAAATAGGAAAAAGAATAGTTAATGTTGAGAATAGCTCTTCAAGGGATTTTATTGTTTTTTTATAATCAGAATTAGAAAAATTGTTTCAATGACTTAGAATTATAAAAGAAAAGTGAGGAATAGATTCACCCCCCTCTTTACCCCTTGGTTTAGCCATCTAGGGGTTAGCTATTCTCCATAGTGATTAAGTTCAATCATTATGAAATAAGTTTCTTGAAAGATAAGTAAATTGATGTCTGTGCTTTAGAAATTTATCTTATAGCCTAAACATTTTGAATACCAATGAAGATATCATTATTAAGGTATACAATTTTTCATATAATTACCTTCCTATGAACTTGGACAGGGGTAGCTTCCTCTTCTTCTTGATGTTTGCTCCTCTATATTTTATAGTTTTATAACTCAATTTAAATTTTAGCATTTTTATATTTATTTTAGATATATAAATTATGCATTTTTCAACAATCAAGCAAGATTGCAACTACTTTAGTTTTAGCATTAACTTGAAAACATAACAAATAGTCTCTATTCCATTGCTCATGTCTATTGATTCTTGTGTAGGTTTCATACTTCATAAGGTTCTTTAGTTGAAGCAGTCTAATACTAATCTCAACCTGAACATGATTCTGAAATATGTATGTGCATTGTCATAAACTTTTCATCCTATGATACATGCCCAAAGATTTCATAAATCTTTCTCATTGTACTTGTGTCAGATTATAACCTTAAAACAATTAATCAATACTTCACCTTGTAAATACTTATTTAAGCAATTGAACGTTGAAAAGTAATCATAAAAATATCATAAATAGATTATTGAATGAAGATCTAAATTATTAGTTATAGAACATTATTTTTGGATGATGTTTTTTACGCCTAATACTCAAACATAAGTAAAAACATTTCATAAAAAAATATTGACTCAAGCTTTGAGTGGATTGACCTATGGAACAACCTAAATAATAGACTTAGATAGTAGGCATAGAATACTCTTACGTGAAAATGTTGAGAGAAATAGACATGAGTCAATCCATCTAGAAACTACCAAATATCACTAGGGAGAAACACTGATTTTCCATGAAAGATCTTACATGTCAAAGTATTTCTTATCCATTGCATATATCCTCACATGGCATAAAAATCATAGAATCTCCATATAACACATTTATGTTGTAAATGACCAAACGTTGGTAAACTAATAGTAGTTTCACTTTGTTCTACAGGTCAGCATACAAGATCAACTAAAATCATCTTTAACAACCAAATCTCAGCAATTTGTCTTACTTTTAGCATTCAAATATTGATGTGAAATATATTATGTAATGAAAAATTAATGATCTTGTAAATTTAAACATTTATTATCTCATAGATAATAATATAAATAATTGGTAAAATACGCTTATAAGTAGACAACCAAAGTTGAAACCAGAATAAAAAAAGTGAATATTTTTATTCATATAAGACTAAATAATCAGTAAACTGTGTACAGACTCATGTGGACTTAGTACAAGATTTATACAAATGTAGAAAATTGAAAAAGATTTTATACGGATCAGTACGAACCCTTTCTTAATATTCTTTCTATCTTGAAGCTTGTTATACCTTCAAAAAAAATATACTGAAACTTTACTGTTTACAAATTAGCTAACTCTGTTTAAAACTATTTACACGTCCACGCACAAATAGTATTAAATAATATTAAATATTAAATACAGTAGCTGCCACGTGTGAACGGTAGTCTGAAAGTCGCCGTAACGAGGGGGTTTCTCCGGAGGGATGCCGCGTAGAGGAAGGGGAGGACGGATCCGCCTCGGCGAGCCACTATCAGCTCGGAAGTCTACCTTTTTCTGAACGGGAACGGAGACGGCGGCGGGCAATAGAGGGAAGAAGAAGAATGGGAGGCTTAGTTATTGGACGGCGGGAGTCACCGGCAAGTACAAGGTTTTCCCATCACCCGTCGCGGGCCACCCAGATGAGATCGTTCTCGAAGATCCAGTGGCAGACCTCGATTTTCCCCGGCGCCGGACCCAGCGCCACGAACGCCGCGTGCCCGGCGCTCCACTGGGTCGTGTCGAGGTGGCATATCGCCACCCCGTGGTTCACCGCCTCGCCGCCGGCGTCCTCCTTGAGCTCTACGTCGTAGACGGCCACCCTGGGTACCGCGTGGCAGTAGTAGACCAGGTACGGGAACAGGCTCTGGTGGCACGACACCGCCGCCGTCTCTCCGCCCCCCCGGCGGGGCGCTACCTTCCCCACCACCAGCGTCTTCCCCCACCCGGCGGTGCTCGCCGTGGTCGACACCGCCGCCGACTTCCCCAGCACGGAGGCGGCGAACTCCGCCATCGCCTCCAGCGACGTCGGGCATCTCTTCGTCTCGTCCTTCACCGCCGGGCGCTCGCACTCCGCCACAGTCTTCGCCATCGACCCCTGCAGGTCGGCGGCGCCAAGCAGGCGGACGAGCTCCGGCAACCGCGCTGACCCGAACGGCAGCCTCTCGGCGAGTGCCCGAGGGAGGAACGAACGCGGCGGCATCTTGTCGCGGATATCCGGCATGGGAATTCTCTTCCCCTCGGCGAGGTTCGTCCGCCGGAAGAACTTCCCCGGTTCCACGTTGGCAGCCGCCGAAGCCTGGCTGCTGTTGAAGTAGTCGATGAAGGTTCCCGGCGTGCGGAAGTACTGCTTGAAGGAAGTCTGGTTGCCGACGTAGGTTGTGAAGCGGAGGAAGGGGTCGACGCCGCCGGCGTCCTTATTGTACTCGACGAACTCGTTCTTCGAGGAGGTGGTAGAGTTGCCGTAGTTGGAGAAGTCCTCGAATGGGGCGTTGTTGCCCTTGGCGTAGGAGCGGAAGGAGTTGTCCGACTGGCTCGCCTGCTCGCCGTACGAGCTGAACTGGTTGAAGTCGCCGTTGCCATCGTTGCCGTAGGAGAGGAAGTCGCTGCGGGCGATATTCTCCGACTCGCCGTAGCTCTGGAACATGCCGGTGCCACCGTTGCCGCCGGCGCTGTAGCCCTTGAAGGTACTGGTGCCGACGTTGGAGTTATTGGAGTAGCTGGTGAACGTGCTGGACATGCCGTTGCCGTCCTTTCCGTAGCCCTTAAACTCGTTTTTGTTCACGTTTGAGTTCCCCGAGTAGCCCGTGAAAGTGCTAGACATGGCGTTGGTGTCCTTGCCGTAGTCCTTAAAGTCGTTCTTGACGACATTCGAGTCCTCGGAGTAGGAGGCGAAGGTGTGGAGGACACCGCTGCTGCCGGTGCCGTAGGCGGCGAAGTCGTGGCCTTGGACGTTACTCTGCATGCCGTAGCTCCGGAAGATCCCGCTGCCGGCGTTGCTGTTGTCGTCGTAGCTGGTGAAGCCGGAGCCTGCGACGTTGGTGCTGAGGGCGTAGTTAGTGAACTGCTCGGTCCCGGAACCGTCCTTGCCATAGCGGACGAAGGTGTCCCGGGCGACGTTCTCGTCGACGGAGTAGTTCTTGAAGTTGTCGCTGCCGAAGACGGTGCCCTTCTGGTATCGCCGGAAGTCCTTGTTGCTGTAGCTCTCGAAATCAGCGTCGCCAGAGACGTCGCTGGTGACGTTGGCCGGTGTCTTGACGTCACATAGGAGCTTGGCGGCGGAGCAGAAGGCGCGGAGGTGGCTGGGGAGGGTGCCGTCGACAATGTAGCGGGAGAAGACGGCTACCTGGGTGGCGTTCAGCGGGGAGGCCTTGTCCAGGAGGATGCTGGGCATCTGCTCGGACCCGAAGAGCCGCCTCCACTGCCGGATCAAGCTTGCTCTGGGGGAGAAGGGGCTATCGGCTCCGACCGCAGAGCACCCCAGAAGAGGAAGAAGAAGAAGAAGACCCAGGAGGAGAGGACGGCAGCCGAAATCCATTTGTACAACCGGAAGAAGCCAGTGAAGCGACCCAATCGGCTGCTACGATGAAACATATATAGCAGGAAGAGCAGAGGAACCCCCCCCCCCCCCCCCCGGTAGAAACAACGGCGGCGAGGGAAAATCCTGACTCCGGAACCTACTGTTCTCCGACAAAAGATCCGCAGTAGACTGGGGCCTTCGTACCAACCTCATGAGGGCTCCCCACTGCCATAAATATGAGAAGTAAAAGATGCTCTTTCTCTCCGTAACATATAATTCTGTTTATCAACCGAACATGTGTCCTTCATTCCTCACATCCCGTGAAAGGGTAAGCACAGAAGTCGGGCAACGCCAGTGGGGAGCCAGCTTTCCAAGGGTGTCGGGAGAAGTGGTGGGGCCCTTCGAGTTTCAGTCGTGGCAGCATTCCAGAGCGAGTCCATGGGCGGTCCCCAGGGCCAGAAAGCTGAGGACAGCTGCAGTGTCCACACGTTGTTCTTGCGTCAGTGCTTCTGTGGTCCAATTCTCGGTGAACCTAAAAGAAGGGCTACGCCCCAGTGCAAAAACTCTAAGTTTGGACTGGCAGCTTGATGACGGAATGACTCGTACAGCTGTCCGTTGTAAAGCCATTAGGTCAACCAATGGGTCAATTCATAAGCCTATTTTAATCAACCGATCGGTCAATTCTAAAGGCAACAAGATCCGCCCAATGCATTCGTTTATCTGGATTCGACGTATTATCTCCTTTTCCTCATTTTATAGATTAGAGCAGGCGTCAGAACTGTGGTACTCTCTCACTCTCACTCTCTCCATCTCCGTATCTATCCAACTCTACCCGGCATTTTCTGTGCGCCTCTCTTCACGGGGTTGGATGTAGCCTGTCCTCTCGACGGAATGAAAGTAGCAAGGTCTAGGGCGGGGAGAATCTACTAAAGTAATGGTATAAAAGTGGCAACTATAACATAGATGGCCACCAAAATTGATATGGATTTCAAGTTCTTCGTAAGATTTCTACAAAGAAGAAGGTTATGATGCATGACGAAACAAAAAGCATGAAATCAGCTCAAAGTCATGCGAGATCTGACCATAATCCTTCACGAAACCATTCAGAACTTCTATTATGAAGACGTATGAGATCAAATCAGTCCCGTCAATGGCAAATGAAGATAAAATGATGTAAAAAACAGTATTTAATGAGGTAAGAAATAATATCAACCAAAAGATTAGAATCCTTATATGCCTCATCTAAAGAAGAAGATCTCTGACAGAGTTTGATGATATGACGTGCCTATTCATTAGTTGAGTAGTCGTGGGATATGAAAGGGGTCGTAGGGCATGGGCGATAATCTGGTTCCAAGGTGTGTGAGGAAGGAAAGGGGAACTCCAATCCCGAACCCTATCTCAGAACTGTTAAGTGCTCTCGAATATTAAAAACGACCTATCTTCATTTCTTCATTAGCCTTCCCAGGATTGGGTTACGTGTCTTTAAATCGGACCACCGTGGTACAGCTTTAGTTACATCCAAAGAGGAGGATAATTAAGGATAGTACAGAAAAATAAGGTAGAAGGTCTAGCAAAAGAAAGAAAAGCACTAAATTCCGATTTTAACTCCAAAATAACTAATGGAAATAATGGCTTAAGAGACTCCGATTTAAATAACACAATCAAGTGACTTTGTTGTCAGTTCAAAGTTATGAGACATTGATGATGATTCTGTGAGGAAAATTATACCCTCCCACAATGCCAAGTTATGAGTTTGACGTAGTGCTTGTACAATGTTAATTCAATTAAGGTTATCCTGGGCCAACATCAAAACAGACAACTACGACGGCCAATTTTTAAGACTATGGCTGGCTAGCAACTACCAAAAGGATTTTTTAGAGTCTCTAGTTTCATATGAGCCTATAAGTTGTGGCAAGATTCCTGATGTCCATGCAGCCTAAGCCTTAAGCTGTATAGACCCCATTCGTTCTAACTAAACTAAGATTTCTTAGTAATAGGTCTCAATAGAGTTCACTTTTATAGCATACAATTGTACTCTTGTAATGAAAATACTTTGTGTCATGAATAAAGATACATATGGATAGTATATGATACTAACATTTGACAAAGCCTAACAACGATCAGGAATTCAAAGCATAGGAACTCATATATTATTCTATGAAAGAGAATAAAGTTGAATCCAAAGCAAAACCACCAACTAATCACAAAACCTTGGGTCTACCATTAGAATGGTTAAATTGAAATTTTTCCAACTATTCTATGGTTTGATAAATATAGATCTGATGCATTAGAATTACCCAGAACATTCACTGGTGACTCTTTAGACAGGATTCTACATTATTTTTCTATGGCATCAATAGCAAATTTATTGCTATGTGACTTTAAAGATTTCACCTTCTGTAGGTCTAAGGTCTACTTGCAAAATCAAAGTGAAAAGGTCTTACTTTTGTTCTTTATTTGATTTTAAGGGGCTCATGGTGGAAAATACTACTTCTAAAATTTAGTATTGTGTACTCAAGCTAGGTAGAAGAATAACTGAATAGTATTGTGTACTAAAGCACTAAAGTATTAGTTATATTTTGCTAGCTAATATTATTGAATCTAAAGTTAGATATCAACTAATATTTTTGTGCTTTGGAGTTACTTTAACTTGTTATTGGCATAACATATAGACACTTTTCTTGAAATAATGCATCAAGAAAGGAGGATCAAATAAAGATAAATTATGGTTCTCCTCTATTCAATAAGAGAGTTAACCCACCATATCTGTATAATATGAAATCAAAATCTATAAGGCAATTTATAAGGAGTTACTCTCTCTCTCTCTCTCTACTCTCTTATTTTTTCCTTTGAAAGCATCGTTGGGACAAAAAATTAGTATAGAAACTCTATACAACTTACCAATTCTTGGTAACTAAATTAATATTATCAGCCTTATAGGAACTGCATTTTTTTAAAATCTATTTCATGCACAAAATACAATTACTGGATAAGCCATAATAGTGATATTCATCCAAGCTATTAAGCTAGTTTTTTTAAAGTTAATCATGATTGAAATACTAAAGTTGAGCATAGCTAAAGACAGTCATATGTGATATTTCAAATATTGAAAAGAAATTTCGAATAAATTCCAAATTTCTTATGAATGGACTTCACAAGTTGTTATGATACACCTCACTTGCTTTTAAAAAATTATGAATAATCCTAAGAGCTTAGAGAAGATTTTTTGAACCTTTGACAGTTTTTTTGTTCTGAACTGAGAAACAAAGTATAGTAACTAAAAGGGAAGCTTAAAACCTTCGTATATTATCATTTGCACAAATTCATCTTGAGATAATATTAGGTGGAAATCTACACAGTAGCGATATAACACAAACAAAGCCACATGACCTTAAGATTTATGACTATCCTAGAACCTCAAATGAGTAAAGAATAAGATACCACCTTACTAGTCAACACATTTGTACGCTTAGTTAAGATTAAAATGCTTAACATGATTGCTCAAAAAGCATTCAGAACTTCCTTCTCAAATAAGGCTAATAAATGATGAAAATTCATCCTTTGAACTTTAGAAACCAGGAAAATTTGAAATTAATTGTTGACCATTCAGAGAAAAGGAAAAACATAATTAAGACAACTCATACTCAAATTTGAAAGTCTAGAGGATGTCAATCTCTACATCATAGCTTAATTAAAAAGAACATTTTTCTAACATATCATTGAATGAAGGTTGAGTGCATCGGACAAACTATATAATGAATGAAATTTGGTTGTACAACTACTTTCCATCATACGATGAGAATTTAGTAACCTAAATGATTGCCATTTCAAAAATGTTTATCTATTTTTTGTGAAAAACAAAGGTTGAAAATTTCTGACCAACATTCACAAAATCATAAATTACATGCAACCATGAACAGATTCACTCATATCCAACATTGCTTTCCAACATACAACACATTTCTAACATCATAATTGGTATTAGTTTTCAAGTGAAAAATTAGGATAAAACAATTAGTATAAATATGTTCAAAGGTTGCTTCAACTCTCATTAATATGTAATTAGTATTAAAAAAATTAGTATCATTCTTTTGTTTATTATACATCTATATCAAAAGTTATTTCAACTCCCAAAACTAGCATTTTAATTTAATAATTATAGTGGAATTAATATATAAAAACAACAAATGCTCTAGATATTATTGGAGAAAATCTCTAACCTGATTATTTCTTAAGGATAGAAAATAATTCATTTTGTATGATGAAAAGTGGAAAATTATTGACCAAGAAGATTGATCGTCTCTTAATTGTTGTATTAAGAGATGCCAAATTTAATATTTATTTACTGAATTCAAACTAAACCAAATCAAGTAATTGCAGTGAGTTCAAGTAGATTATATGAGGAAAAAACAAAGTTTGATGATAACTTATTGTGTTCTCTATATTTAAGTAAAAATAAATAAATGATAGACAGGTAACATCCATTTGTACTTAGCCAACCTAAGTAAAATGAAACCAGTACGAAACATGTCTATGTTTGAAAAAGATCCATTTTTGCTTTTTCTTCCTTCTCCCCCGACGCCGTCCCCGTAAAAATCGACCCAGGCGGAGACGACGGCTGCCGAAAGCCATTGGAACTACCGGAAGAAGCCACTGAAGTGACCCAACGCCTGCCATAATGAAACATAAATTGAAGGTAACAGTGAAGGAGCCCACCACCCCGCACCAGCAACCCCACCCCGCCCTCTCCCCGTGTCCCCGTGGAAACCACGGCAACGCGGGAAATCCTGACAGTTGGAGCCATTGTTATGCGTTAGAAGATGCGCAGAAAGGTGGGGGATTAATACTAGTTTCATGAGGGGCACCCCACCGCCATAAATGAGAAAAAAATATGCTCTCTCTCTCTCTCTCTCTCTCTCTCTCTCTCTCTCTCTCTCTCTCTCTCTCTCTCTCTCTCTCTCTCTCTCTCTCTCTCTCTCTCTCTCGCTAGAGACACCGTTCTAAGCCCATTCGAATTA